TGGTTTGTACGGTTTTTACAAATGAGGGTGATTTTCATTTGAACGCTCCCCTATATATATATATATATATATATATATATATATATATAGGGTATTTTTCAAATGCAACCCACTCCATTCTTACAACCAATACAACTTATTTCCAACCAATCAATGAATTTCCTTTTTTTTAATTATTAATTAATTGAAAAGGTTAAATATGTCATTTACCATATCCAGATTATTATAAGTATTTAAAAAAAAATGATATTCTATTTATGGTGATAGATTCATAACTTATGGAAATTGAATAAGTAATTAAAGGAAATTATATTGCACCTAATCTTTGAATAATATTGCTGGAATCGTTGATGTAGGATGCATTTGATTATTCATAACTTAAATTTCATGAGATTGGAATTGGTGAATGTTCTTGTTTCTTCAATATCCCTATAGAACCCAATATTAATATTATGGATTATATGCCATTCAACGAGACTTTCAGTAAGGATATCATTCAAGAAAGCAATGTTTTCGATTCTTCGAACGACGGCCAAGGTTTTGATGAAGGTGGTGAAAATGCAAACACAGTTATTAACGAAACAATAGAAGATCAATGCCATTATTCAATGAGGAATGAAGATGGCTGTAACGATGGAAACGAAACATTAAGTGAGCATAACGACGGAGTTTTTGTAGATTTCGTCGATGATGACRTTGCATCTTTGAGCAATGAAGCTGAAGGTATTGATTTGCTTTCATTGTTATATGTTAATGAACCTAAAAAATGCTTTCATTAGAAATTATACATATTAGTAGGTACAATGAACAAGCTACAATGCATCTGGTTTTAATTCTATGAAGCAGCTAATATGCATATGGTTTGAATATAACGAACAAGCTAAAAAGATGATGTAATTACCTAGTAAAAAAAGATGATGTAATTACCTGGTGATGCTTTGTTATACATGATGTAATTACCTGGTGCTGCTGGTATACAATGCATCTGGTTTTAATTATATGAAACCAGATTCTTCGTTCAAAAAAGTTGATGAAATTACCTGGTAAAAAAAGATGTAATTACCTGGTGCTGCTTTGTTATACATGATATAATTACCTGGTGCTGCTGGTTTCATGATGCTCTTAATGAACCCAAATGCAAAATTTAGCTTTGCTGGCTACTGTTCGATCAAAATCAGTTGGGAAATACATGGAATCAAACCCAATTTTTTCTTGCCATTTGTACACATAGGTAAGCAAAACACTAAAGAGAAATACACAGTTTTGAAGGCAACATAATTTCAAGACAAACACATAGGACAAAACACAACAAAGTCAAATGAAACCAATGATCAAGTCTTAAAATATAACCAGCATAATCAAGGTAATCAAATCAAATCTGCTTGCTGTTGTTCTAGGAAGAAACCATGTTGTTAAGGATAAATAATGATTCATATGGACCTAAAATCATGATTGTGATTCACACAATAACCACAAATGCCCTTAATGACATGTACCAGGTTTCTAATTTGAACCTTAGGTACCACGTAGCATCACAGGGACCAAAATTTGTTTTTCATGATCAAGACAGTAGCCAAGGGCCTGTTTGATAGTTAAAGACACAATAGCCAAGGACCAAGATTGTTCATTCACATTGAAGTTTCTCAATAGATATTCTATTGGACACAATTAAAAAGCCTCAAATAGTTATGATGAATACCATAAGGGACTAATTAAGCTAAAATATTAGACCCCTAAACACTGTTGCACCCTGAACCGATGCTATGAAACACTTATTTCACCTTCAATTTGGAAGACTTGACCTATTTTATCGAATATTGAAGGCTACTGCATTCATATA